GAGGTCCCCCCCGTGGCTGGCGGTCCCCCGGCGGGGGGAGAGGGGTATCGCGGAGTCGACGGGGGAGCCTGCCTGCCGAGTGTGGACCAAGGTAAGTTCGAACTAAGGTACTTCGAACTTCAGCTACGTTATTCACGTAGCTGAAGTTCTGTACCTTAGTTCGAATTAGGGGGTTAGTGTTGACCTGGCCTTAGTGAGAGAACTGGAGAAGGGAGAAATAGAGAGGAAAGCCAAAAATGGCATGCAGATTACAGGCCGAGGAGACAGGAAGGAGAGTGGCAATGTCAATGGAGCTAGGCAAAGGGTCTGGAGGAAGGTTTAGGAAGAAAGAAGTTCGGTGTTGAAAACAGTGGGCCTGATTCTGACCTCACATGGTGTAAAAAGTATATTGGTTGATCACAATCAGGTCCATTGAGTTTGAGATGGTGGTAGGGCATCCTAGAGACAATGGCAGAGAAGCAGTTTGAGATGCAAGACTGGATGGTGTTGAAGAGGTTTCAGGGAAGATCAGTAGATTTCAGTGTCCCAGGTGACACCTAACCCTATTCACAGTGCCTGTTGCGAGCAGGCAAAACACCACTGAGAATAAAAATGCATTTGTGGAGGGAAGTGTCCCAAGTCAGGTCTATTAATGGCTGGCAACTGTCCTAAACTTCATTTCATACAAGATGAAATTCACCTCTTTGCAGAGGGACAGTGGACATATGCACCACTGAAGTGCCATTTACACTTTATTTTGAGGAACTTAAGTGATACATAAGCTTAGTGTTGGCCCTCTGCACAGGGGTGAATTCTACTCACAGTGAAGCGAATGTGCCAAGAATAATCCTGCTCTTATTTGGGTTCATTTGAAAAATGTTTGATGGAAGCAAATTTCCAACAGCAGTTATTAGGCCTGATCTTGATTTCCCCACATATCCATTTGGCACTGTATTACTCCATTGACTTCAAGGTAGTTACTCTTGATTTTCACCAAGGTAACTGAAGGCAGAGTCAGACCAGCGCTATTTTTAATTCCTTCAAATGCATTGTTGAAGACCTTACCTCTGTCTGGATGGCAGCCCTTTATGTAGCGAGTCACACTGATCACTGTAAGGGTATTAATGCTAGCCAGGCCAAACAGAAGTGTCAGAAATCCATCAATCTGGAAAAACAAATAAAAAAGGGGTTTTGTTCCCACAACCAAACTGCAGAATGACAAGGGGGTTGGATTGAGCGGAACTATTGGGAATACTCCAGTGGTTTTATATTAATGTTCTTGAAAGTTTTTCCAAAAGCCCAAATGCCAGTGAAATATAAAATGTCAGGGGTCATTACCATCTCTGTGATCAGTGAACAATTAGACACTGAAAAACTAGATGCGGTGTGTCATGTGGGTAATGTGAATGTAAAACAAACAAGCAAACACCTGCTGAAATGCATCCTCCCAAAATACAAAGCTACGGCATGAAAGAGAAAAAAGACTGAACAGGAGAAAGGGGATTGGATGCAACAATCCTCATTATATAGAGACAAATATGTAAATTGAACACATGAAGTTTAGGTTAAGGTGGCAGTAGCAATAGGAAGAATGCAAGACGTAATCAACTTAGCTGAGTGGAAAAAAGATTTTTAAAACATCCAAACCTAAATCAGCCAAATTATTTACCTTTGAACAATGCTAGTCATATTTATTATAGGTATTTGTAAAACTGACTCAGGCCCTGATCCTGGAATCTGATCCACACAGGTATGGCTGCATAGACCCTTTTGCCTCTGTAGAGCGCCAGTGAAGTCAATGGCCCCACTAGCAATCTATGCACAGGATGGTTACAGTTCAACTAGGTTAATTCATGGATATAAGGAAGAAGTTCCTGCTGAATCTAGCCAGCTGTTAGTGAATACTGTGTGACTGGGAGGTGATCTGGATAAAATCTTTGCAGGCTTAGTCTAATTTTCAAAAGGTTGGAATCAGATGCAAACACAGTTAAAGCTAGAGGGTCACTTGGAGGTGTAAGTTTCACATTAAATTGAGTAGGAAAACTGATGTAAGTGGCCCCACACTGTAACTTGCAAGAATTTGGTATTCAATGATTCTATAAATAAAATCCCTGCAACTTAAACCAGTTCAATAGTCTGGCTAAATATATTCAACCCTCACATAAATGGCAGAACTCTCATTGAACTCTTGTCTGAATTTGGCCTGAGGACATTGTGAATGAGCTGAATATAAATTAAAGTAGGTGTGGTACGCTTTATCTTACATCCTTCTCCTGGTTGCTTTTCTTGCAACAAGCCCTCTCGCGCTTTCCCAGCGTCTTGTTTACATTCATTTTGCAGCATCACTGAATAGTAAATCAGTGCAAGATGCACTATTATGGCATTTACATGGCCCCGTATGTCAGATTTATGATCAACTTACACCTGATGTGTAACTGAAACTAATGTATATGTCACAAAAGAATATGACCCAATGACTTCCATGGATGCAGCACCTGCTTACTCCAGGTTGCATTTGGCTGAATTTGGCCTGTTGTCTCTCAGGATTAGTTAAACACCTGGACATGCAAATGTACTGTGCACTTCATTAAGCTTATGGAGGCAAATAGCTGCTGCTCTGCTGTGTGCTAAATCTGTACTGCACAAATCCAGACAACAACCTACACAAGGACTACTGTAAATCCACACAGTCATATGCTTAAAAAATCATAGAATATCAGGGTTGGAAGGGACCTCAAGAGATCATCTAGTCCAACCCCCTGGCTCAAAGCAGGACTAATCCCCAGACAGATTTTTTTACCCCAGTTCCCTAAATGGCCCCCTCAAGGATTGAACTCGCAACCCTGGGTTTAGCAGGCCAATGCTCAAACCACTGAGCTATCCCTCCTCCCCCGCCAATAGTACTAGTTATTGTTCAGAACCTAACAGGGTTTCAGGAATCATGTGAACAGTGAAAAATCTGAACATAAGCCTAAAAAGCAGTAATAATAAAAATACATATAAAGGGTCAGGGCCAGATCCTCAGTGGGTGTAAACTAGTACAGCTCCACTAAAGTCATTATGTGTCTGCTGAGGATATGACAATATACCTTCTTTGCCTCCAAAGATGACAACTGTTATTCTCTCATCCCCAACCAACATCATTTCTCATTGAGGGACAATTGTCTTTCCTGATCAACTGAATCTACCAATGGAGCGCACAAAAAAAGGGCAGGAAAATGAGACTAGTCATTCTGATTTAAAACGAAATACTGTATCATGATAACTAGAGTGAGTTGAAACATTTTCAGCTTTCCATCGGAGAATGCGGTTTGATTAAACTGAAACGGTTCATGGGAATGTATCAATTTCAAGTAAATTGGTGGTTTAGATAATGTGGATTTTTTTTTACCTTTATCATTTTGATTAATTTAATTTTGACTCTTATATTAAAACATGTTATAATTTAATATTATATTTAATGTTTAGCATTATATCCTAGAATAGTGCTTTGCCATTATTAAAACAAAACATTTTTATCTTATCAAATAAAACACTTCAATTTTTCTTAATTGAAATTTTCAAAATTTCTATTCGACAGGAACATTTTTAAATTTTGATTTTTCATTCTGATTTGGAACTGCAAAAAATGTTACTTCAGAATTTCCTGCAGAACAGAAATTCCGTTTTCCAACCATTTCTAATTATAAACAAGGAAGCAGGACAACACTTACCAAACAATGTATAGCAAGTACGTAATCACTACCTTTCTTTAAATATCACTTTCTTTAAATGCACCTCAGCATTTAAGTTACATCAGTCTAGTCTCCTTCCAATAGCAGTTTAGGGAGACCTGGTTCTCCATTGCTACATACCAGGAGTAGATATTTAAACGTGTGGAGTGGGTGTAAAATGCCACCATTCTGACTTGCAAAGGTATAGCTGACTACACAAGGTGCATTGGATAATAAGGGAATCTAAGAACCTGATCTAAAGCCCACTGAAGTCAATGGAAAGACTCCCCAATCGATTTCCATCAGCTTTGGTTTGGACCCTGTATGAGCATAAAAGATGCTTATTTTGCCTTCTGACTTTGGCACCTTATCTAATACCCTCCTATTCATCTTTGATTCTGTTACATCCACAGGGATTTTACTTTATAAGCCCCATATGTCGTTTATTGTGTTTGAATTGGGGACAGTATTTGAGAGTGTCTCATGCAGCCTTCCTCTCAAAATTAATTCAACTCAGCTATGGACAGACACACACCTCATGTGGACCAAAAACAGACAGCAGGCCCCAAACCAATAAGTAATGACAAATTGCAAAGCACTGAGGTCCAGGGGGGTGCTTTGTGGGGTACTGCAGAAATTATATTGGACAGATCTTAACGTCTTCATTAATGGCCTAGAAGAGAGATTAAACAGCACATTAATGAAATCGCAAGAGGATAGCAAATTCAGAGGAGCTGAAACCATAAACAGGACAGAGAAAGGCTACAAAAGAGGCCTAATGGGTGGAAGCAGGGACAATAAATAGCATCCTAAGATTCATCTTGGAAAAATACCAACATATGTTTCAAGTACCTAAACACCAGGGTTAAAATGATATAAGACATAATGTCTTCAGTGCCCTCCACTGGGGTGGAGCACCTGCCTTGTACTCCTAACCATCCTTAGCATGGCTCAGCTTCACAAGAGGCAAAGTGGAGCCCCAAATGTGTAGCAGACGGTCAAAATTGGATGGTTCTATCACTGAAAACAACATACAATTTGCATACTGCAGTAACTACATTGTTTCTACCTATATACTTTATCAATGAAAATACAATATTTGCTCTTTGGTTGTGGGTTAAAAGAGAAAGGGGATTAATTAAAGCACTATGCTTAGCACTAAGGAGCTGTCAGACCCACTAGCTTAGCCAGCTTTAGCCTTTTCTGCTCCTGTCTGGCTCACTCCCAGCTGCAGGTGTTAACAGTTGGTTAGCTCTAGGGGCATTGTTCCTTCTCTTCTTTATAAAAAGAAGGTCAAGGTCAACTCGGGTTTCTCTCTCCCTGTTCTTTACTCCCCCTTCCTTTCGGTGAATTTACGGTTGGCGCCTCAGCTGCTCTCGTAGGGATTTACTCCAGTTGCTGTCTCTTCATTCTCGTTCCTCTCTCAGGAATTTGCTGTCAACATCTGCAGTGCTGGGCATGCAGGGGGCCTAGGGCTTCACAGTCAGAGCTGAGTTGCAACATGCTCTGCATAATTCTTTCCGTTTTAGGTACGTATATAGCCCCCATTACTATATCGGAGTTCCTCACAGTCTTTAACACATGTTTCCCCCCACTTTTACAGATGGGGAACTGAGACTAAGTGACTTGCCTGAGGTCACACAGGAAGTGTGGTAGAGGAGGGACTCAAACTCAGATCTCCCAAGTAGGCCAGTGCCTTAACCAGTGGACTATCCTTTAGATTTACAAACAAGGAAGAGGCTTACACGCCAAGAAGACAGACAAAACATTTAAGCTGGTACAACAGGGTATTATTAGGAGTAGCAGAATGAAATTAAGACAGGAAAAATATTAATAAGGATACAATTGGGGATCCTCTTGCACTAGGGGGAAGAGGTCTTTCCAGTCTCTCGCTTCTATAGACCTAGGAGTTAGAGCCTGATCTCAATTACACCCCTATCTATTCAGAACAAGTATACGGATTCTGCTACAGTTATTCCAGATTTACAATTGCATTACTGAGATCAAAATTGAGCCCTAGATATCCACTCCAGTGCAAGGAGAGGAAGAGGAAATAGGTGGTGTCCCCTGAAGAGAAAAGGTGTCCCCAACACTAGTTATAGTCCATGTGCTCTAGAGACTTGCCATAATGGCCAACAGAAAGAGAAAGACCTTTCTCACACACCTCTACCCCTAAAAAGACAGCATAGATCATAGGTAGCAACAGAGACAGATCTACAGAATCCAAAGTAACTAGCAACCCAGAAAATACTAATTATCCAACCACAGTATCTTGAGTTGATAGCTAGAAATACTAATATAAGTACTGAGAATAAAGTAATCAATTTCTTCTCCAAATTTAAAGATAATTTGGCCCATTAACTAAGGAAACACTAAAATATGAAGAAGAATAAATAAAATGTCTCTAATCTAAAATGTTTGTGTATCTTTTCATGCTTTCCCCCTTCAGCCG